TTTTGTTTTTTCCCACTTTACAGGGCTAATCCTGTAAGGAAGGCAGGAAGGAAACATTCTGGTGTTGTTTCTAGCCTAATCTTTATTCCCCTGCTTATAGAAACTGCCTCTCCGGTTAACCCTTATTACCATTGTAACAACTAAGGTGAAGCGCCCATCGATGTGAGTGATGTTGAGTTGGCCACGCCCACCTAGTCACATGACCCCCAAGCCCCACTTACCCTGCTGGTCATTAGGGCAGAGAACCGGTTGTTAAATTATTTGAATCCCACCACTAGGAAGGGGGTAGTACACAAAAGCCATAAATAAAACAAAAATAAATAAATAAAATCACCCCTCCACTGAAGCTCAGACCCTCAAACACTGTAGTTCCTTGGAGGGTTTTGTGCATATACTATATGTTTTTTTCTTTAAAAGGGGTGAATTTATGTCTTTATTTGGATCATTTTTATAGGTGCAATTGTGTATCTCCTATTTTAATTGCAGCAGACATCTGTTCAATCTCAGTATCTGACTTCCTCAGTTGTATGCAAGGCTATATTTCATAGGTAACCTGGCCCTTATATTCTTCGCACCTCATTTGCTTCCAAAATAATAACGCAATATTGTCTAGTAGGGGAAGAGAAAGGGCACAATCATTTGTTTCGGGGGGGGGGGTCCCAGCATTCTTTGGGCATTCAATCCATTTCAAATAGCTTCTGGAAATCAAAATGCGAGGCCTAAAGATTATGCTGTTTGTCTCCAGCACTTGTTAGAATGCCACAAAATTTCCATTCACTTTAGAAATTTGCCTCAAATCTCTATGAAACAATATATGACAAGAACAGATATACATACACATAGAGAGAAACAGAGAAACACGCACATAGACCGACATAAACATGAATCGTGCTGCTAGGAAGACCCAGAGGCCAAAGGAAGGTCCATGGGCTGGACATTCTCTTCTTGGCTTAATGTGTGCAGACCACAATCTGCTCCACAGAAGTGACTCCAGGAGAGGCAAAGGATATATAATTTGGCCGCACATGACTCATATGAAGACTAAGGTCTTGTGGTTCCTTCTACTTTTATAATGGTCAAAGGTTCTTGTAAGCTCCTCATTTTTTGAAGAGGGGGGAAAAAATCACTTCACAAAATCAACTGAGATTCATTTCATGAAATGAATTTGCCCTTTAGAAGGGGGTCTCCTTTCTTCTTCACCCAGGCAAAGGAAAGCACATTTTAAGCAGGAGTAGGGAGGCAAAAATCCTGCCAGATATGGAGCGCAAGTGGAAAGCACTGCACAGTATGGCACCCTTTCATTTAAGGATTAGACCGGGGCCGTTAGCTCACATTTAAGAGCGAGGAAGAGGCCGCCTTTCTTTGACCTAGAAAAGCAAATGGCAGCAATCCAATTAGTATGCAAGCAGCTGCGGCATAGATTAGGCCTAATTTTTAAATCAATAAGAAATGAAGCTTTCTGCCAGAAATACGCCGTCCACTTAGGTCTTGGCGTATTATTGTATTACTACAGTGTTTAGAAGGGACATAATCCACCAGGATCACAGAATCCTCAGATCGGAAGATCTCATTTGGACCATCAAGTCTAATCTCCTGGTCAAGGCAGGAATCCAACTGGAAACATCCCAGATAGATGGACCTCTAGCCTTTGCTTGAACGGATTCAATTAAGGGGACCCATCTCCTTTCTGAGAAACATTTCCACTATTGAACTGCTCTTACTGTCAGAAAGGGTCTTTTTTTAGAACGTTCACTCAACATCTGCCTTCCTGTAACTTCAACCCATTATTCAGTGTCCTGCACTCAGAAATGGATCAGCTCTTGACCTTCTGGATCTCATCCTTTCAAGATTTTGAACAGCACTATTAGAACTGGGCGCCATATCTGAGGCGGGCTCTGTCCCGTTGCTGGGATAAGGAAGACAATTTGTCATCTCCCAATATTGCTAAACTATTGCACACCTCAGCCTGACCCAAGGCGATGCTGAATGGGTCAATTAGATTGCATCATCTTTTGCCCTAAGAAATGTTCTTTTGCAAGCCTCATTAATGCTCCTGTCTCCAGTCGTTTCTACGTTTTTCGGTGCTGTGCAGGCAGAAGAGTTTAACCTGGATCTTTCCCACAACTGAGAAACAAGGCAATTTGCATGATTAAATAATAGGGGAAAGAATGCCTCCGTATGATTTCTGTAGAAGTAGGTCAAGTGTTAAGAGACAGAGAGATTGTGAAGAATAGTTTGTGGAGTTGGACGGATGTTACAGTTGACGGAAAGGGTGATTGGTTGGAAAGGATGCAAACGAACTTGATTGTCACTCTTTTTTTACAGTGTTGGCCACCTCCTGATATATAGCACAGGCAGAAAAACAATGGCTTATATTTCAGACACACATTACACGTGAAATCTATGTGTCTGCAGGGTAATGCATGAAATGTGTGACTGCAGGCTTTTTGGATATTCACCAAAAATGTTTAACAAAAAAACGGTGCTTTAATATTTTAGCTCATAGCTTGAGAATAAAAAGAGAGATGTTTATGGTCACGTGACCTTCGCGCAAATGATCCCATCCTCGTTGGACACCATCCCACAACCAAAGAGAGTTCCCTTCCCTTCCTACCGTATACTTGTCCCACTTCTTCTCTGGATCGTAAGGCTCCCATCGGCTCGCGGGGAAAATATGTTTGTTTTTCTCATACCAGCTGCGAAGTACAACTTTACCGGCGTGGGACTGAAGGGGGGGGATGAGAGAGGAATCAGCAGAAGTCAAAGCACTTGATAAATCGCTTCCAAATACTCTTCCCAATCAGCTCAGATGGGAACAGGACAAGTGTTCCCAAAGAACCAATGAAAGATAACGCAGAACGCTCAAAACAGAGAAAGGGAAGAATTCGTTCAGTGCGGATCATGGAAACAAATTCTTTCTGTTGGCTTGCCTCTTAGCTGCTGGATCAATTCGGGCAGTATTGGCAAATCTTTTCAGCACTGAGTGCTGAAATGGGAGCGTGTGCGCGTGCGCCGTAAACTGGAAGAGCAGCCATCCGTTGATCTTCCGATTTCCTGCGCACACATACGGACCTGCCTGCTGGTCTGCATGCATGCATGTGTGCCAGAAACTGGAAGACCAGGTGGTCACTGCGTGTGCCGGAAACCAGAAGATCATCTTCCCGGCGCACACATGCACACCGGGTGGCTGCTCTTCTGGTTTCCGGTGCTCCCGTGCACATGAATACCAGCTGGCCGGTGTGCCAGAAGAACAATGGGTGACAGCTCACATGCCCAGCGAGATGGCTCTGCATTCCACTTCCGGCATGCATGGCATAGGTTCGCCATCATGGAATTAAGGTGTAAACCATACCTTTCAGAGTTGGCTTGGGGTTAGGGATACTTCTAGATAGCACCAGATTGGGGAAGGCAACTTGTGTTTTTTTTAAGAGGTAAGGAAAATGGGAAAAAAACCACGTATTTGCAAGATTCAGTGTGTGTCTGAATAAAAGCAAAAAAATAGCAACAGGGTGTCAAGGTCATCTGTATTTCTTTTTTTGCAAAAAGTGGTCCTCTCAGGAATGGACTTTCAGAACCAACTAATTCAGTGGCAAGCTCTTTTCCTCACCTCGTCTTTCTCCACTGTTGCATCACTCAAAAGCCGGACATCATCATGGACGTCGAAATTGAAGAGCGGGCCTGAATTAGGGAGAGTACGTATGAGGGAGGAGAGATTTACAGAGTAACTGGGCTCCCATTTCAAGGTCTGGATTTTTCCCTTTTCCTCCAGCCTGGATAAAAGTTCAGCCCAGTTGCCTGCATCTTCCCGTTTCTCTACCCTCCATCCTCCCAGAGGGCTTGGATGGGAGGAAGACAAAAGCCGAAAAGGAAGGAGGAAGCAAAGAAGACACTCACCGCTTTTTCCTCGGGCCTTGGTGACAATGAAATCGTAGAAGCTGTGATGCTGGATGGGCAGAAGAAAAGGGTTGAGGAAGAGACATCACAAAAAGATCCCCCCAACCAAACCTGAGCAAGCCATCTGGAGTCGCTACATTTAAGGGCAGAGGGCAGCTGCTCCCAACAAGCACTGAAGGAGAGACAGCAGGAATTTTCACAAGCCTGTCTTGCCTGATACCCTAAGCAGAGTGGTGAGAACCATTATTCTTTTTTCCTTCCTTCCCAAGCAAAACTTTAATTGCCTTGCTTTTTTTCCAGCTAAGCACTGACCTTAGCCCATTTCATTTTGGATACCCGTTTGGGAGGTGTCTGTCTGTCTCTCTCTTTTTTTTTTTAAATATACTTTTTTATTTTCCATTTTCATAACATATAATCACATGTATACTATTACATAGCCAATATCCTAT